AAATTGGAAAAAGATTCTGTTACAACCCATTTGGGAAGGGCCATATGAGGCACTTATGATTACCTGCACAGCTGTCAAGGTAGCTGAAGTCCAGCCGTGGATTCATCATTCTAGAGTAAAGCGAGCCTATACAGAGGACTCCACAGACTGCGACCCCAAGGGACAATGTACGCAATACCCCAATTCAGAGGCTGGAGAGTCCATGAGCTGCAACTCCAGGAGACAACGCTCTCAAAGCCCTGCTCTCACCACCCCAGAAGCAGGTGAGTCCACGCATGGCTGAAGAATGAGGACTACGATCAAGATATTATGGACTATGTCAGACTGTTATGAGTTATTTTGTTTTTGAGCTAAGAGGTTTATAAGCCTAAAAATGATAAATTTGATGAAAATTATGTGACATTTAGATCTGTCAAATGGGACCCAGAAGGACATCTGTTAACTGTGATTTTTAGTGCTTGTCCCAGGGAACATTACGGGGGACCTGGTGTTAACTATGACTGTGGAGGCTATTCTTGGGAACCAACTTATTGTAAATAGAGGACCCGAATATGGTTAAACAATATTGATATGGCCAGAAACACCAGCAACTGTAATAATTGTACATAAGGTCAATGTAACCCACTCAGTATGGTTTTAAGTAACCCCTGGGATAGTATATGGTTGAAAGGACAAACTTACAGGGTATACATAGGATATTCCTCTACCCTAGAACACTGGTCACCACTTGCTCATGATCCCCAGTGGATTCTCCAGATTGTAACAATTTGGAGAATGTCTCCCCCTAAGCTTGGAGAAATCCCTGCCCTAAAGGAGATTCAATGGATAAGAGATGGGGGCCCTTGTAGTTATACAGGGATAAATACGATAGATTTAATTGCTTATACTCATTCACTTGTGTTACAGACAGATCAGAAATTAGCCTCTGATTGTTGGATTTGTGCACCACTTACCAGAATGACTTATCAGGCAATTGGCATCATAAGTGACTTGCCCTTAGAGCCAGTAAAGCTTGCCATGTACCCCCTACTCAACTACCCATTAGATATAATTGGTAATGGAATTTGTTTTCTAGGTATTCAAAGATCACGCAGTTTCAGCTGTTTGCGCTAACATTGTTGATTTATCCTCAACCACTGGTAATTACTCTGCCCCAAACGGAACTTTCTTTCTCTGTAAAAATGGTGTTTTTAAGGTGATTTCAAGGCACTCTGCTGGTTTGTATGCTTTGGGAATCCTAATCCCCATCTTGTCTGTGTATACCCCTTCAGTTGTAAGAAAGGTACCTTTACAAATCACTGCAACAAACCGTTTGTTAACAGGAGAAGGGACCCAATTGTCCTTCCCATATTAGCAGGATTAGCTAGAGCAGGCAGTCTCACTCTGAGTGCCACAACCCTCAGATTAGGACAACAACAGTTTGTGGCTTTGGAACAAGAAATTGGAAAAGACTTAGAAGAAATTCGGGGTGCGATACAAGCCTTAGAAACTCAGACTCATTAGCTAAAATAATGTTACAGAATAGGTCTTGATTTGGTCACTGCTCATAGAGGAGGAACTTGTCTGTTTCTAGGAGAAGAATGCTGCTACTATGCCAACAGATCTGGAATAATTAAGGAATCACAAGATAAACTAAAAGATCGTATTAAACTGCTAGGAAATGAATTTGGTATTGGAGGACTCAACATTTAATTTTGGTTTTAACTTGTCAGGGTGGAGAGCCTGGGTCAGCACTCTCACAGGACCAATTACTGTCATACTGCTCATCCTCATATTTGGTCCCTGCATGGTAAAAATGGATATTGAGGCTCGCACATCAAAGAGTAACCGCTGCCCAGCGCTACCAGATGTTGATTATGAATAATGACACTGATAATGATAATGAGCACAATGAAGGTTAAGGAGTTACCCCCAAAACAAAGGAAGAATGATAGGGAAAAACTTTATTGGGGGTGACCTAGGAAGGGTCACAAGGTAAGATAACTTTGCCCTTTGCTCTCTTTAGGGCAGAATTAACCAGCACCAGAGGCATCTAGTCTCTAAAAGTTTTGTAAATGAAAAGAATCATTCTTAGCTTTGACCAAACACCTCTCTTGCCCTTGGCTAGAATAGATAAATCCTAAAGGTAACTTCCCCTAACAAAGAATGGCATTGAAATTCAACAGCCTTGGCCACCATGTTTTGGGTATAAGCAACGTGAACTACGAAAATGCAGTGTAACCAACTGAATATGATCAAGGCTGTAAAACCCTATAAAAGAAGGAGTTGTAACCCAATGGAGGAGTCGATCAGGGCACTGCCAGTAGGTGTGATGATCCCCATCGATGGAGTGAACTTTTTAATTTTACTTCTATTGTACTGCCTCTCTGTGTGTCACCTGCCAATTCCTTTCGTAACAGTATAAGAAGAACATGGCTAAAGGGGAAGTGAGAAGAGGGGGGGAAGGAAATAAGGGAAAAGAAAAAATGTAAAAAAAAGGAAAAAATGTAAACAAAGTCTTTGTAAATAGGGAAGGGTGAAGGGGATGAAGGGAGGGCAGAGGTATGGGGGAAAAGCAAGAACCAAGATGGAGCTTTTGCATTATCTGAGACCCACAAGAGAGGAGAAAGTATGGAGCTGAATATGTCTTCAAAGTAAGCATGGCTTCATCAACTGCTGAACAGTTAAAGAAGATGTGGGGTGTTTTTATATAATGGAGTGCCACTCTACCATTAGGAAGGATGAGCTTCAGCCATTTACAGCTGAATGGGAGGACCTTGAGACCAATACCGCATTGTTTCTCTGGTGTGAGAAACCAAAAGTGGAAATAAGGACTGAAATGTATAATGGATGTTGGCAAATGGGAAGAAAGTGTTCGAATAAAAAAAAAAAGTATTCAAATGGGAAGGGAAACAAGGGGGGAGGAGAAAGGAAGAAAAGGACAAAAAAAAAGTGAAAACAAGAAAAAAATGGAAATAAAGCTTTTGTACATAGGGAGGGGAGGGGGCTGAGGGGGGAATGGGATAAAATAAAATTTATTTTTTATTTATTTTTGGTACCAGGGATCGAACTTGGGTCCTTGTGCTTGCAAGGCAGGCGATGGAACCACTGAGCTAAATCCCTGGCCCAATAAAATTTATTTTTTGAAAAGTAAGTATGGCTTGAAATTCATCAAATTTGGCAAAAGCCACAAACCTACAGATTGCAGCAGCTCAGCTGAGATCCACCTGAAGAGCCCCATACCATGACACACTACAAAGTCCTGACAACTGAAGATGAGTGAAAGACCCTGAAAGCAGAGACAGAAAAACAGCTCCTCATTTATAAGGGATGGAGCATTCACAGGAAAGCAGATTTCACTTGAGGAACTATGGAGGCCAGAGGAAGCAGCACATTTTCAAGACTGGGACAAAAAAACCTGAATGAACTCTATATCCAGAGAACCCGAGTGAAGGGCTAAACAAGACCCTGTCAGATGAAGGAAAGCTACGGAATTCATCTCCAGCAGACTAAGAAAAGCTAAAGGAAGGGCTTGCAGTGGAAAGAATATGATAAAAGAGGGAGTCTTGTAATGTCAGGAAGGAAGAACAATGCAGGGCGAATGAATGGGTAAACACATTGGAGGTTTCCTTCAGAGGTTGGCTTTCTTTCCTTTTTTTTTGGTACTGGGGATCAAACTCAGGCCCTTGCACTTATGAGGCAGGTGGCAGAACCACTGAGACAAATCCCTGGCCCCTGGCTTTTGTTTTTGCAGTATAAGGATGGCCCCCCTGCTTCAGGCAGGTGAGGAAGGTGCTCTACCATTGAGCTACATCTCCAGCCCTTCCTCCAGTTTTTAAATTTATATTTCATGGTCAGAACAAAGATTGTAACATTACATACAGAGAGGACAATGCACTGAGAGGACATAGCAAAGACACTTACATTACAGATGAGGAAGACAACAGGGGCTTGAATAACTAGCAACACCAACAAACTATGAGTACATAAAATTTCCTTTTCTTTTTTTTTTGGGGGGGTGTTTTTGTTTTGTTTTTTCAAGATAGGGTCTCACTATGTAGTTCAGACTGCCCTGGAACTCACCTTGTAGCCCAGGCTGGTCTCATTCTCACAGCGATCCTCCTGCCTCAGCCTCCTGAGTGCTGGGATTATAGGCATGCACCACTATGCCTGGCTAAAATTACCTTTTCAATTATGGTAGTTTCCTCTCTAGCTAGGCATGGTAGCATATAGCTGTAATCCCAGCACTCGGGAGGCTGAGGCAGGTGGATTGCCATGAGTTTGAGATCAGCCTGAGCTACAGAGTGAGTTCAAGGCCAGCCTGAACTACACAGTGAGACCCTGTCTCAAAAAATCCTGGGAATTTGGCTCAGTGGTTCCGCCACCTGCCTTGCAAGCACAGGTCCTGAGTTCAATTCCCAGTACCAAAAAAAAAAAAGTCCAAAAAACAAATCAAGAAGAGAATTTCATTTCTACACAAATGTAACAATATTTTTTGGTGGGGGGGAGGGCAAACTCCAAAAACAAGTGAAATTTTGTTTCAATTTTAAAAACTATATAATACATTTTTTTCCATAAAAAAAGAGGAAATATCCTCAACAAATCAGGTTCTCAGTTTTATCACTTCAGTGTCTTCCATCTCCTGTAAACATTTCACAACAGCTTCGTGGCCATAAAGCGATCTTTCTTCCTGTCACTCTTGTGTCTCCCTCAGTCACACTCCTTGTCTTCTTTCATTCTATTTTGTGTGTGTGTGTCTGTGTGTCTATTTTGTGTGTCTCCTTATATAGTTCAGACTGGCCTTAAACTCCCAGCGATCCTCCTGCCTCAGACTCTCAAGGGATTACAGGGGTGGGCCACCATTCTTGTCACTTTTCAAATGCTGCATGTGTGCCACATCTTGGGCTTGCATCTGCCTCCCCCAGATGTCCCTCCTCATGCTGCCGGTGTGGCTGGGAGAGGACGCCAAGTTCTCTCACTCTAGGCCTGGCAATGGAAAGAATGCGAGCCACTTCTCTTACCTTGGAAGCCCAGGTCTTCCCAGTGGTCTCCGTGGAGTGCGCAGTCAAACCTGGATCCCGTCAGCTTCCTATAAATGGTCTGGAGGACTCGGCCATGCACTGGGTCTTGGCTATCCAGGCCACCTGCCCCAAAACACACACACACACACACACACACACCGCCCAACCGAACCTCAGGGGAAGACTTGGTGCATCTGGGAGAACGGGACTCGGATGCCCTGTTCTCTGCTCCCGTTCTCGCCCACCAGCATGGTGCATGCAAAGCCCCGGCTCGGCCTCAGCCTTGGTCAGGTGGCTGCTCTGCCTGACCACATGCAGCACCTGCCCTGTGGCATCCCATGCACTCACACTGAGCAATGGTCAGGACCAAGTCCCTCTCTTCGCAAAGGCCCTGGTGGAGCTTTGGTGGCCCAAAGAGGCAGTGCCGGAGGGCGGAGAGCCCAGTCCTTCGAACAGTTGGCTGGATTCTCTTCTGGGGAGGAAGTCGGTGCAATGGGCAGAGTGCTGGCTTCACCTGCCTTAACCATCTTACCACTGGTCTCAGATTCGTTCACTTCCCCCAGCTAAGTGGCTGCTCTCAGGGCCAGGGAAAGGGGCAGCAGCTGTGAAGCACCTGCTGGGTCCCCAGACACAGGCTCTTCCCAAAGAGAAAGAGACGCCCCAGGCATAGGCACCATCAGCCAGTTCAGTGCATTCGGTCCTTTGGGCTTTTCTGGAATTGGCTATGCCACTGCCGAATAGGGCACAGATGCACAGCCCTGGGACACATAGTGTGGCCAGAAGAAAGCCAGGCCTTTCTTGCTGAGACCCAGACCTCTACATTGCCATACCTTGAAGGAGGAGAGGTCCAGTGTCTGGAAATGCTGCAGGGCCTCAGTGAAGGAGATGAGCTGCCTGGGATGGTCTGAACTGGCCTGGCTCCCTGGGGCAAAGAGAACGATGCCTGAGGGCTTGTGACAGTTACTGGGGGCCTCCTGGCTGCCACCTCCAAGCCAGGCACTGGCTTCCAGCTGAAGGGCAGACACCTCCATCTACAACCCATCCTCTTTCAAGGAGCTGGCATTCCCTGCCGGCTGACTTCTCGGACTAGGCTGTTCCCCAGCTTGCTGGAGGCCCTGTTTAACGAGTAGGGCACAGACCTGTCCTGCCAGGCTCCCTCCAACCACACTCCTCTCAGAGGGAGCAAGTCACGGCCTGGAGGAGGAACCCACATAGGAGCACGCCGCTGATCTGTTGGGTGCCCTTCCTAATTTCTACTGTGCCCCTTCTCGTGCCTACACAGGACCCCCACCTTGTCACAGCCCAGAGGGAATGAACTTCTCGTCAGCCACACAAGAGGTGGCAAACTCCATTCCCCGGAACCTCTCCCTGAAGCTAAGTGGGTTCAGGCCCAAACTAGCTCCAGGTTCCACCTGCCCATAGCTCTATCCAAACCCGTTAGAGGGGGCTTGAGACAGCCTGTACCCAGCCTTCAGAGCCCTCCAGCGAATGCCTTTAGCCCCCTCTTCAGGACCCTGCTTGTTCAGTGAGCAACCTGACCAGGCTCACGCACGGACCCAGGCTTCCTCCCTCTTCTGCCCACCCTGTCACCTGAAGAGGCCAACTGTGACCAAGGGACCCTGACAAGGAACCCTGTGTTCCCTCGGGGCTGGGCAGAAGACGGGCAAGGACAGCCGCCCTTCCCTGTGGCACTCATACCCATTTCCTCCGCAGGCAGATGTCATCATCTCTGGATTTGGGAAAGAGACGCTGGGTCACACAGGTAAAAGGAGAATACTAAAAACTCTGTCTCCTAATGCCCAAGTCATGGATGGCTCGGCCACACGTGGGGACGGTGCCTTCGACAGCAGCTGCGCCACATGGTGACAGCACCATTCCCACAGTTACCTGCGTCTGGCTGGATGGTGTCCACAGCTTCCCATTCTTCTTGGGCTCTGAGCACCTCTGGGCTTACGGCTGCAATGGGGCCAGAAGGGGACCCTGTGAGACCTAGGTGGGTCTGGACCATTGTCGCAGATCCCAGCCTTGGCCACCTGCCATGGATCTCGTCACCATCCCACTACTCTTCACATGGAAGCCAGAGTGAGCTTCTAAAAGGGGAGAACTGATGGCCGCACCTGCTCTTCCAAGCTCTCCAGGGATTCTCCCTAAGCCTCACGACTCAACCCACAGTGGACAGCACAGCACTGAAGTCCCCGCACAGTTCTAGGCTGCCAAAAAGCTGACATCCTCAGTGTGCTCTGGCTTCTCCTACAGCCTGCTGGGCCTCAGCACCGAGCTTGCCGGAGCAGCTCCTCATTCCTGTCAGATCTGGCACCTCCCACCCGGGTACCTTCTCACCTGCTTCAGTCTGGGCTGGAGCCACTGCTGTGTGAGGTGCTGACCCCCGACGATTACTGCAGGGTCCACCTGTCTCTCCCACTACACTGTGAGCCAAACAGGGCAGGCTCCCCGCCCCAGCAGCGCCTGATGCACAGCAGGCACTCAACAAATGACTGGTGAATGAACAAAGGCATGAATGAAAGTAAAGTAAGAGGAGGAAAAAGTAAGAGGAAAGAAGCAGCAAGACAGGCTCTCTGCAGCTACCACACAGTTTAGTTCTCCAAATCACGGCTATCACCCTGTACCAGTGGTGTCTTCTGTCACTAGCTTTTCCAATTTGTTATACAGGGCATCAACAGACAACGTGAAGCATAGAGATATCACTACCAAAATGAGGATCTAGCTAGGTGTGGTGGGGTACACCTGTAATGTCAGCACTTGGGAGGCTGAGGCAGGAGGACTGCCATGAGATCAAGGCCAGCCTGGCCTACATAGCAAGTTTAAGGCCAGCCTGGGAAACACAGTAAGACCCTGTCACAAAAACCCAATACATACATACATACAGGCACACACACACAGCTAGCCTGGGGATGTGCTCAGTGTAAAGGTCCTGGGTTCAATCTCCAGTATCAAAACCAAAATCAAACAAAAGGATCTCTCCGGCCACAGTAGTAAAATAGGCCAGAACAGTCCTCCTGTGCCTCATGATCTTGGCTGAGACCATCATGTGACAGGAAACTACCTGGGTGGACAATGGTGTTTAGAGTTGGGCCCTTGGGAGGTGGTTAGGGTTAGAAAGGGTCACTGAGGCGGCTCGCCCATGACTACACACTAGCAGCTTCACAAGAAGAGACACCAGAGGAGATATGCATGTGCTCCCTGGTTCTTGCCATGTGGTGCCCTGCACTACCATGGGGCTCTTGGACCAACCAGCCATCACTGATGCAGCCCCGTGACCTTGGAACACAACTGTGAGTCCAAACAAACCTCTTTCTTTATAAAGTTACCAAGCCTCAGGTATTTTGTTATAATAATGAGAAATGGACTAAGACAGAGCATATATTTGCAGGTTAAATAAAATGCTACCAAACATAAATGGAAAACAAGGAAGAAAAAGCAGTAGAGGGGAGTTGCTGAAAGCACACTGAACAATCAAACTGTGTGTAAAGGTTTCTACAAAGTTTCCATAAAAACTAGCTGAATTTTTTTTTTTTTTTTTTGAGACAGGGTCTCACTATGTAGTTGAGACTGACCTAGAACTCACTATGTAGCCCAGGCTACATCACAGCGATCCTCCTGCCTCAGCCTCCCAAGTGCAGGGATTACAGGTGTGCACCACCACGCCAGGCAAAGCTAGCTGGATTTCTTTGGGTGAGTTACTTAACCAGCTAGAACTCCTCACAGGGCCACTACTGGATGAGGCAATTCTCAGTCTCCTAAGACAGTGCATAGACCAAAGGTGAGCTCTTAATAAATGTCAGCTATTGTGACTGCCACTGCTGTGGGCTCAGGGCCAGCAGGGCAAGGGACCGTGGGAGCAACGAGATAGGCCCAGGTCCTGAATGTCTGATCTCTCTACCTTCACTCCTCACTTACATACAGCTTCACTGATGCCTCACCCTTCTGACGCTCATCTACAAGCAATCAGATCAATCTTTCAGCCAACACGCCCTCACCCACCCTCAGTTTGATCAAAGTCAGAGAGCCAGGTGCAGGGTGGGATCTGCTGTCACACACACAGGTTGGCAGAAAGTACAAGGTCTCAGCAAGGGTTATCGAGCTAGTGATAAAAAACGAGACAAACAGTCGAACCAAGTGAGAGCTATTCCTATCTTCTTGGAACAACACTCCCACCCCTCAAAGTGATCCTGACACAAAGACTACCCTCTCTGACCCACAGAGGAACAGGTAGGGGACAAAACTTTAGGACAATTAACATAGCCCATGTTAAAATAGCCCCCTTTTGTTTCCTTTTTAATTACCTCCTTTCTTCTGCATCTCTTCCACTTATTTATAAACCGAAGAGCAATAGTGATTTAATCAGCCTATTAATTTAAATTAGCTAAGAGCAATCCAAGAAAATATGTAATTATTTAATATGACTAAAAGAGCTGATACAAATATGCTAGTTGTATAAAAATATAAAGTAATTTGGCATTTATAAGAGTTATTAATTTATCAATGTTGGTTTAGCCACTATATGGCAAAGATAAAGTTCCATTAAAAAAGATTTTGTAGGGCTGGGGATGTGGCTCAGTGGTAGAACACTGCCTAGTATGTTCGAGGGTCAGATTAATCATCAGCACTACAGAAAGAAAAAAAGAGAGAGAGAAAAAGCAAACTGATATTCAAATAATTTTTCTACATTTGAGTATAAAACTTCAAGCCGGGTGTGGTGGTGCACAGACGTATGTAGTCCCAGCCCTCAGGAGGCTGAGGCAGGAGGATCGCTGTGAGTTCGAGACCAGCCTGGGCTACATAGTGAGTTCCAGGTCAGTCTCAACTACATAGTGAGACCCTGTCTCAAAAAATAAAACAAAACAAAAAACAATACAAACAAACAAATGAAAAATATTTTACAGGGAAGGGCCTTGTAACACAGATAAAGTAGGATATCTTGGCTGGGGATTTAGCTCAGTGGTTCCACCGCCTGCCCTGCAAGCACAAGGATCAGAGTTTGATCCCCGGTACCAAAAAGTAGGATATCTTTCTAAAACCTTTTCACATATACTGCATCGTTTCCCTCCCCTTGCCTTCTTTCCTTTCCCCTCCCTCCCCTCCTTTCTCTTTTTGTTGTAGTACAGATTGAGCTGAGGGCCTTCACACAGCACTATATCCCAAACCCTTTCTGTACTTTTTATTTTGAGACAGGATCTTGCTAAATCAAGCTTGAGCCTGACTTGTGAACCTCCTGCCTCAGCCTCCCAGAGTGCTGGGAGTATAGGCGTCCACCACCATGTCCAGCTATAAGGCCTCATTTTCATCATATCTCTTAGAGGATAAACGATGTATTATTAGCAGGCATGGTGGTATTCAGGAGACCAAGGCAGGACTGCCATGATCTTGAGGCCAGCCTGGGCTACACTGTAAGTTCAAGGCCAACCTGAATTACATAGCAAGACCCTGTCTTAACCTCTCCTCCCCCAAAAGAGAGAGAGGTATTATTATTTCCACTGCAGACTCAAGATTATATGGCTTGCCCAGAAGCACACCACAAACTGTTGGCAGAGAAACTGACCCCTAGACCAGCACTGATTCTAATTTTCCTTGAAGAATGATAAATCTACAAAATTCAGGACTAAGAGCAATAGAAACTCAGATGATGAGGAGTAGGTCCCACCCAGGCTCGCAGGGTCCTGCAGGGGTCCTTACCACCCGGCTCCCATCCATTTGCTTCTGCAGTCAGGGCCCGGAGAATGCTGTGGTTCCTCAACTCTGAGATCTGGGGTGAGAGGTAGATGACCTTCAGGGTGGGTCAAGTCCACACCCCCAGCACTTCCCACCCCTTGTACTGAATATCCTTGAATTTGGAGGCCAAATGGGTCTGGTCTGCCCTGATGGGCTGAGTAAAGTCAATGTTTTAGCCAGGGGTGGTGGTGCACCCCTGTAATCCCAGCAATCAGGGGGCTGAGGCAGAAGGACGGCTGCGAGTTCAAGGCCAGCCTGAGAGGCAGGTGGTAGAACCACTGAGCCAAATCCCCAGCCCCAAGGCCAGCCTGGGCTACACAGTGAGTCCAAAACCAGCCTGCTGGGGATTTAGCTCAGTGGCACCGCCCCTGCCTTGTAAGCATAAGGTCAAGTTTGATCCCCAGTGAGGGTGCGTGGGGAAGGTAGCAAAACCAGCCTAACTACAAAAAACAAAACAAAAAAATAAAGTTGATTTTTTTTTGTTGTAGTTGTTTGGATTTTGGTGCTGGGAATTGAATCCATGGCCTTCTAAATGCTAAGTACGCACAGTATCATATCACAGAGCTAGACTCTCCACTCTAAAGTCCATCTTTTTTTGGTACCAGGGATCAATCTCAGGACCTTGTGCGTGCAAGGCAGACACAGTGCCACTAAGCTAAAGCCCCAGCCTAAAGTCAATTGTAAAGGAGGGACATGGAAAACTTCAACTATGATAAAGAAGTTGTATAATGTGAGGGATAAGTGTATGATCGCCATGATAGTACATAAACCAAAATCCACACCACCCATCTGACTATGGTGTGCCTTTGGTATTCCTGCTGCCTCCTACCCTCTACTTCACTGTGGCAATTACGAGACAGAGGTGTATGGCACATATAAGCCCCACGACCCCTCTCCAGAAGTGTGAGCTCCTGGAATAGGGTCTATGCCCTCCTGTGTTCCCAGGACCTAGCACCCAGGACCTGGCACCCTACAGTAGCACGGAATAGGAGTTTGTATTAGCAGGAGGCGCTGCAGTGTGGGTGATATGTACAGGGATTCCTCTGAAGGCCGCAAGAGCACCGATGTTCTTGTCATGTGATGGAGAACACCCCGCAGATACTCTTTCAACCTGTAAGACAGACCAGCGTCAATCTCCCAGGCACATACCAATTCCCCCAGACCACAGTTTACAGGTTACCCCTTTCCTAGAATCACAAAAGAATGAATTCCAGAGAAATCAGATACAAGAAATACTGTGTGGAAAATATGGTCTGAAGAAAAACTGCAGGCTGGGGTTATAGCTTAGTGGAGAGCACTTGCCTAACAAGTGTTAGGCCCTGGGTTTAATCATCAGCATCACACACACACACACACACACACACACACACACACACACACACACACAAACATACACACAGTAGCCATGCAGACACACAGAAAAAAGAAAAAGAAATGAAAGAGAAAAACTACAGAAAATTTAGTTATTATCTCAAAAATTTTACAGATGTCTGCTTCACAAGGGGGGGAAGGTCCTGAGTTTGATCCCCCAACAAAATTTTTTTTTTTTTTTTTTGGTACTGGGGATCGAACTTGGGTCCTTGTGCTTGCGAGGCAGGTGCTGGAACCACTGAGCTAAATCCCCAGCCCTCACAAAAATTTTTTTAAAATAAAATCTTATAATTTTTTTTTAGCACTGTTAAAAGATCTCAGGACTCAGTAAGTTCACTGAGGAAGCTTCCCTTGGTTTTTTGCTCAGTCACATCTTTCACCTACTAGAGTTAAAAAGAAAATGAGGTAAAACAAGAAGAAAAACATGACCAATTCATGCAGCCAATATTATAGATACAAGGCTAGTTTTCTTAATATGTAAAAAAAAAAATCCTACAAAATAAGTTAAAAATCCTACAAATAGCTGAGCATGGTGCTGCACGCCTGTAATCCCAGCACTCAGGAGGCTGAGGCAGCAGGACTACCATGAGTTTGAGGCCAGCCTGGGCTACATAGTGAGTTCAAAGCCAGCATGAACTATATAGCAAGACCCTGTCTCAAAAGACAAACAGGGCCAGCGGTTTAGCTCAGTGGTGCCATGCCTGCTTGCAAGGTCAAGGTCCTGAGTCTGATCCCCGGTACTGGCAAACAAACAAAAAACCCAAACAGCACAAACAAACAAACCTCCTAAATTAAACCTAGTACAAAAATGGGCAAAGGATATGGGCAGTTTACACAAAAGGGAACACACAATATTCTTAAACAAAGGAACAAATACTCAATCTCATTCATGAGGGAATGCCAAATACAGCTGAGATAATGCAGAAACTGAGATGTTTCAGTTATCAGGCTTTCAAAGGCCAAAAAGTGATAAAGCACTATGGTGGACAGAGTGTCAAGGGTTACAACACAACGGAGAATAAATACCCTGTTCCCATCTTTGCATCATGATCATACTTGACAGGATCAGACATGTTTTGCAGATACTGGGCCTACATTCTAGTAATTTAACTAACAGACACACTCATCCATGTGCAAATCACACGCTTACATTTATAGAGTCATTATCACAGAGAATTCCTCAAGTGTCCAATAATAGACTGACTGAAACATTACAGTATATTCATTCAACAGGTCCTATCAGCCATAAAAAAGCATGAGAAAGTGCTTATGAGAAAAGCCTTTATGTTGTTATGTGAAAAAGCAAAGGACATGCTATATACACTACTGTACCACCATAGTTTTAAAAGATACACGAACAGACATCTTTGTTTGTCTCTCCCCAAGAAACAGGAACTCTGCCTCCAGCAGGAGAACTGAGTGCCTGGGGGAACAGGAAAAAAGGCATTTTATTCAGTCTACGTATATACTTCAATACTTTTCAGGGTTTGAGTCATGGGAATATATTATTTGCTCTAAAAGAAAGAAAGAAAAACTAGTAATTAAAAGAAAATGATAAAGAAATCGATGCTTATATCATGGCCCTGTAATCCCTGTTACTCTAATTTTTGCCAACTAACACTTCTTAAATGTGGCCCTGATTTCTTTATGTCCTAGAAATGGAGATGCAGCTATGCCGCAGCTGACCAGCACCCCAGAATGCCCCAGATGCCTGAGCACGATGCCTTCCCACCCACTGCAACCTAGGAGGCTGCAGGACTGCAGGAGCTCCTTCCTTGCTGCCCACCCTGGAGGTGCTGTTTCTCCTCCCCAGTACACACCTCCCACTTCACTGTGTTCCTTCAAGTTTGCTGGTACCTCCTCAGGGGGCTGCCTCACCACCTGGGGCCCTGTTGTTGTCTCACTTCTCTGAGTCCCAAGTTTCCTTGAAAAAGTTGTGCACAGAGACCTTCTCTTATATGTCCCTGAAATTTCCCATATGTGTTGGCACAGTACAAGGCACAAAATATCAATGTGAATTATTTTTTTGTGTTTTTACTTTGACACGGGGCCTCACTGTAATTCAGGCTGGCCTAGAACTGATGGAGAGCCTCCTGCCTCAGCCTCCTGCAGGCGGGGATTACCGGGATATGCCACCATGCCCAGTTTAATTAGAATTTTATCTAAAAAACATCTGGTGATTCAAGGTGCTAAACAACTCCCAGAGGGGCCTATATTCTTAGGATTCATTTCTTCTGCTTCCCTCTACAATTGCATCCCCTCCTATGTCCAAAGATTTCCCTCTGGAGAATGGGTCATATGTTTTCCTATAGTGAGGAAAACCTTCCTGGAGCCCAAGTAAAGGCTTGGCCTCTGGTTCTGGCCACTGAATCTCACAGGTTCCTTTTTAGACCATTTCTGGCAGAAAGCATAGGGCAAAAGGTAAAGAATGTAGGGTTAGTGGCCAGGCTTACACAAAGATGCAAGAATCCTCAAGATAATCAGGCCAAAACAGGTGTTTCACAAAAAAGAGGACAGTACGGTAAATGAAGCAGATCAATGAAATACAGATTTCTTGTGGGGTTCCTCACTGAAATTCTCCCCCAAATTCCAGCAAATAAAAATGATTCCATAATCTACTTTAGAAGACAAGTTATAAAGAAAAAACTGACCCAGAGGTGAAGAGAATCTCCTTTTCTTTTTTGTGGTGCTGGAGATTGAAGCCAGGGCCTCACACATGCTAGGCAAGTGGTCTGCCCTCAGACCACTACACTCCCAGCCCAGAATCTCCTTTACAGAACAAAGAGCTATAATGAGAGTTTTCCCAACATATTTCTAAAATTCCACATTCTCTTGATATATTTTTTGCCTTCTTATTATTAATGATATACCCCAAGCCACTACCCAAATAGGAGTGCTTACCTGTCCATCTCTTAATTCTTTCTCATTATGCAAAGAGCAAGATTTTTCATTCATGACTCAAAATCATTTGTTCAAATGAGCTTTGTCCTGGGCTCAAAAGGGGTTGAAAAAGTCTGAGATCTGAAGCTATGAGGAGAACCAAGGATCCAACTGCTTTACCTCTGCCTTCCTCCCTGGCAGTCATTCAGACCAGTAGTAAGAAAACAGTCCCTGTGTGCCATCACCAGGGTGTAGCAGGTTCCTATGAGTCCTCAAAGAAGTCCCTGTTGACTTTGGAGCCTCAGCTCTGGAAAAAGAAAAAGAAAACTGGTTTCATCATTCAGCTATGCCTTGAGAAAAAAATGACTTAAAATCTTTAAGCAGCAGTGAATTCATTCTGAATAAACAAGTTGCCTTGGCCAGATGCCTACGTCTTATTACCCATGCCACTGGATGGCAAGGGATTGTGCAGGAGTCTGGGAGCCAGGCTTTCAGTGTCCAAAGGCAGCAGCACTACCCTAAACTGTATTCTGGGAACAATGGTACTAGAACCCCGGCCAGTGTATCAAAGGGGTGAGGCTAAATAACTGGAACCCCAGTGGGTACATTTAACGGAAGAGTTCAGGTTTTGCTTAGGTTACAAATACAAGTTGGGTTCCCATGATAGTAGAAACCCAAAATTCAACACAACATTTTAACTTTTTCCTCCAGTTTTTGCTTTTTTTTTTGGTGGTGGTACTGGGGATTGAACCAGGGCCTTCACACTGAGTTCTGTTCTCAGCTCTTTATTTATTTACTGGTACTGGGGATCAAACTCAGGACCTTGCACTTGCCAGGCAGGTGAGGCCACACAGAGTTACATCCCCAGCCCTCAGCCCTTTTATTTTGAGACAGAGTCTTGTTAAGTTGCTATGTTGCCTAGGCTGGGCTCGAATTTATGATCCTCCTGCTTTAGGCTCCCAGAGTGCTGGGATTATAGGCATGTGCCACCATGCCCAGCCTGTCAATATTACTTACATAGGTGGCAGCTACTTGGCCAGTCTGACCAATTCTAAGTGCGTGATTTTGCCTTTGTTTTTGTGATGCTGGGGATTAAACCCAGGTCCTTATGCATGCTAAGTAAACATTCTACCACTGAGCTATATCTCCAGCCCCAATTCTGAGTCTTTCATATCATGTTGCTGCCACAGGGAAAGGGTTGGACAAGGGTCAGATACTTTACCATGGGGAACTGGACATCATGGATGTCTATCACATAAAAGATCCGGATTGTGATTGGACAGACTCACATGCAACTGACAATCATGCTTCTCAGACATAGGCGACAAAGAAGGTGACCTATCTGTGGGAATCTGCTTAGGTTCTCTAAGAACTGGCTGCCAGGCAGGGTAGCACAAGCCTGCAATCCTAGCACTCAAGAGACTAAGTCAGGAGGATTGCTGTGAGTCCTAGGCAAGTCTTGGGTACTTGTGAGTTCAAGTGAGTTCAAGGCCATGAATTGCATTGAGAGACTTGTCTCAAAAAAACAAAAAACAGGGCTGGGGATTTAGCTCAGTGGTGCTGTGCCTGCCTTGCAAGTGCAAGGTCCTGAGTTCAATCCCCAGTACCAAAACAAACAAACAAACCAAAAAAAATCAGGGCATGGTGACACACATCTATAATCGCAGCCTTCGAGAAGCTGAGGCAGGAGGACCATTGAAAGTTCGAGGCCAGACTGGACTACATAGTTCAAGGCCAGCTTGAACAACATAGTGAGACCTTTGCTCAAAAATAAATAAATAAATACAAACCAAAACGATCTTTGTCAGGACACACTGATTATTACCACTAAGAGGAGGGATACTTCCTGGCTCTTGGGCTGGACATCTGGCTCAGTATAATTAAGAGGGGAAGGCAGCAGGCCCATGGTTGCAGTATCCCAGGATCTAGACTTTTCTCACTGAGACCTTGGCATCTGCCTCCCTTCACTCTTTCTTTCAGCATAGTCTCCACGACAGCATAGAACAAAAAAACACATATCCATCAACCTTGGCAAGCAGGCAGGATGACAGCAATCTCAGGAAGGTTCTTCTGCTTCTGTGTGGAAATGAACCAAGTAGCGCAGAAGCATGGCCAGCTTCACACGTTCCCAAACTGCTGAAGGCTTCAACAGGGACAGTTACTATCTGCATCTGAGAGACAGGGAACAAAAACTCTTGTCAAACAAGCAAGTATTCAAAGTTGTGAAGTCATTCCTACTAGTATTAGACATCATGATAGGTGGACCTAAGGAAATGGGTCTCATAAAAATAGATCCTTCTCAAGCAGCAACGTTAAGGGGGTGTGACTTTTCAACTGCTTGCTGGAATTTAAACTGTCTGAATTATATAATTGGGATGCTGGTTCATCCTTATGTTCAAAGGTGCACATAGACGTGACAATTTTGCCTGATCCTTCCACAAAACCTTGTGCCTGAGCAGCAACCTGTCCCCTGAGTGGGACCCAGACAGAGGCAACGTTGCGAGGGATGGGAGAGGATTGTCGCGGCCAACGCTACAGGTCAGGGAGTGGCACACAGCCGGGCGCTTGCTGATTTCAACAGGGGTCTGAATTCATCGAGCTACTCAGGTAACCAGAGGTTGTCGGGGGACTCAGGACAGAAACTTTCTCACTGCTTCACACAATTAGCTTCCGGGCATTCAGGTATAATTTATATTCCGGGCATTCCAAGGCAAAACAGAGACCAGAATCCCAGGAAAGACGCTCTCTGTCCTGCATTCTTCAGTTTTGGACCACCCCGAGGTGAACGCCTGCACCTCATAACCTCCCTTTGACCGCCCATCCCCGGCTCACCCGACGCCTTCCCAGCGTCCCCAGCGTTTTCCCGGCGGAGGTTCTTGTCCCCGGCTGGTCTTCATCTGCGCACGCGCATAGTGCCTCCTGGGGCAGGCTTACGGTTTCCTTCCCCCTTCTTAGAACTACATTTCCCAGTAGGTACCGAAAATTTTGAGCTGCAAAGTGGTACGAAGAGTCGGGAGGGTCAATCTATGCCGGATATTGGCTTCGCGCCAGAGAAGCTAGTTCATTTTTGGTCAAAGTAGCCTCCGCCTTCCTAGGGAAAGAAAACTAGCTGGGCGGAGCCACAGACTTAAAAGCCGAGTGCAGGCGCAGCAGACCTGTTGTTTGGACCCCGAGCGGCGCAATGTGGTTTACGCTGGTGTTGCTGGTGGGCCTCCTGCTTGTTGTCCTCTACAAAGTTTATCTGGGACTGTTCGGTGGACGCTCCCCTAACCCCTTCTTTGAGGACGTCAAGCGGCCACCTGCTCCCCTTGTGACCGACAAGAATGCCAGGAAGAAGGTTCTCAAACAAGGTCAGAGATGGGAACCCTGAGGTCTGGGCCTTCTAGCGAGTTTGCTTTCCCACTTCTATAGAGCGAGCTGCTGCCTGACCTGGGCCTCAGTTTCCCCAAAAGTAAGGTGTTCCAGCAGACTTCCTCACCCGGAGGCGTCCGGTTTTTGCGCCTCCATGTCTAGAGCGTTTACCCTGGCAGTCCCAGGACAGTTGACCCAAGGTCTTGGCGCAGCGCGGTCCTAGACTTGCCAGTTGGAATCGCTTCTGCTCACAGGAATAGAGACCTTTCCCCAACTTGGTTCTAGGACGGTTTTTTCCTGCACCCTTGGGGGCGTTGGATAGCAGCACAGGAGTCTTTCCCAACCTATGTAGGAGCTTGAGTCATGCCAGTCAAGGCATTGAGCAGTTTAAGAAGTGTGGTCCCAACTCAGGATTGATTCTAAAACTTGGGAGAGGTTCAACAGGGTGCCTCAGGCTCCAGTCCTCTCCCACCAACCAGCTATCCCCCCACTGTCATCGTTAGAACACACCGTGGGGCTCCTTTCAAGATTGAAAGAGCTCTGCTGCTTAAAACAAAAAACAACAAAAATTGGATCCCCCCATGTGATCGCTAGCGTCCTTCTCAATTATAAATTTTTTTTCTATGTGACATAGAAATAATACTATTCTATGTGAAAGGATTAATAGTTTGAGCTTCAGAGATCAGTTTTAGCTTGGACTCTCACTCTAATTCACAGCATAACCATTGGCAAGTCACTTCTGTCTGTCGGAGTGATCTAAAAACCAGATGACTAGTTTAACTGTTTGGTTGTGACCTGTCAGTGAGTTATAAAATGAATTTAATAGGGTGCAATTAGAGTTTTGTTTTGATTTTTTCTTTCTTTCCTTCTCTCTCTCTCTCGCTCTCTCTGTCTCTCTCTCTTCTTTCCTTCCTTCCTTCCTCTCCATCTTTCTTTCTCTTTTGTTTTGTTTTTGAGACAGTCTCACTATGTAGCCCAGGCTGGCCTTAAACTTATGGCAATCCTCCAGCCTCAGCCTCTCAGAGTGCTGCAATTTCAGGTGTGCATCACCATGCCTAGCTAAATTGGCTTTTTAAAATGCAGTAGTGATGCACGCCTGTAATCCCAGCTACTCAGAAGGCTGAGGCAGGAAGATCACACATTCAGGGCCAGCCTGGCAACTTGTTGGGCCCCTGTGTCAAAAAAACAGTGTGTGGGCCAGGGATTTAGCTCAGTGGTTCTGGCACCTGCCTCACAAGCGCAAGGACCAGAGTTCAATCCCCGGTACCAAAAAAAAGAAGAGTGTGAGTGTTGGAGATGTAGCTCAGTGCTAGAGTGTTCATGGTCTAATCTTCAATACTGCAAAAGTATGTGGGGGGTATCAGAGATATCAGAGTGCATCATATATAGATTTATTAAGTATTTATTGTCCTATATATACAAACACACTGTAGGAGATGATATAAAATATATTTTTCAGTATGGTTTTTTTTAAAAAAAACATATGAAAAGTAAAGTTTGCCAGTTCTTTCATCACTTGAGCATTTCCAAGACTCCGTTCTGGGGCAGTGATGTTTAAAGAACAGACCTTGTATTGGAAGTGTGTGTATAGCAGCGTGTGCTGCCAGGTTTCCTCTGTTAAAGTGACCCCATTCCACTTCTGGATGAGAAGGGCGGTGCCGGGACTTCTCTATCTTGCCCAAGCCTCTGTACCACACAACCCAGCTGCTCCCATGGTACCTGCAGATCCTGCATCTTCCAGAGAAATTCAGCTTGAGAATGTCCAGCTCTCAGTGCTGCCAGCCTGCCCCTTGGCCTTGTTCCTCTGCCCTGATTCTTTTTTTTTTTTTTCTTCCTTGGCTGGCTTTCTGTGTGTGCTGTTAGGATTCTCCACCTGTACTGTTGTCCTCTCTTTCTGTTTCTATCATAGCTTCCTGGTTCCTACTTTTGTTGAAAGCAGTGAAAATCCCCCAGCGGTAGTGGCTTTGGTTCAGTCAATTCACACCAAACCAAATTACTGTTTAATATCGACCTGGCTCCCAGGTGAAAACGTTGAGCCACCTCACTTAAGAGCACCTCACTAAACCACTCTAGAGGTTTCTTGCACTGTGCAAGCTGAAGAAGGCTTTGGTTCCTTCTTTTGTTTTCTTGCCCCTGACTGAGAAACCTCCCTGTACCTCCTTCCTTCTGCTGCAGCTTTCTCAGTCAGCCGAGTGCCAGAGAAGCTCGATGTGGTGGTGATTGGCAGTGGCATCGGGGGCCTGGCTGCAGCAGTGATTCTGGCAAAAGCTGGCAAGCGAGTCCTGGTGCTGGAACAACACACCAAGGCAGGGGGCTGTTGTCACACCTTTGGAGAAAATGGCCTTGAATTTGACACAGGTAAGGCTTGTGTGGAAAAGCTTTGGGAGTGTGGCTGTATTTTTATTTCATTTTTTTCTCTCAGTACTGGTACCGGAGATCAAACTTAGGACCTTGTACTCGTGAGGCAGGCGTGGTGCCACTGAGCTAAATTCCCAGCCTGGCATGGCTCTATCTTTAAGGGACTTGGAGCAGCCACTGTGGGGTGATTCTGGGCATTTCTGATGGTTTGGAAGTGCCATCTTCTCTCCCGGAATCACAGCAGTCCCTCTGGGCTAGGATCTGGGCGTCTCTGCTGACATCTCCCAAAAGGAGGGGTGGGCAATCCTCTCTGGGCACGAACTTGGCCTGAGCCAGACATCCTCTTCCACTCCTTCCTCGCCCACCTGTCCAAGCCTCAGTCTCCTTACCTCTGTGCCACTTTGTCTCCCTGCCTCCCAACAGGAATCCATTATATTGGGCGCATGAAGGAGGGCAACCTTGGCCGGTTTATCTTGGACCAGATCACCGAAGGGCAGCTGGACTGGGCTCCACTCAGCTCCCCTTTTGACATGGTGGTGCTCGAAGGGCCTAATGGCCGGAAGGAGTTCCCCATGTACAGCGGGAAGAAAGCATACATTCAGGGGCTCAAGGAGAAGTTTCCCCAGGAAGAAGCTGTTATTGACAAATACATGGAGCTGGTCAAGGTAACATGGACATAATCACAACCGCCTTTATTCCCAGCAAGGCTGAGCTGTGGAAGCAACTGCAGAGGGAGAGGCAGGGACGGAGGAGCAGTTACCTTTGTCCTCACCTCAGCCCCCACCCAAGGCTACCTTTGCCCTGCTGACCTCTCCTGCCACCTCTCTCTGTCTTCTGGAGTGCCCTTGTTCCCTCCCTGACTGGGCTGCTTTCATGTCATCTGATCATTATTTCATTTGAGACCAGACTAGGATTTTTTTTTTCAGTAGTGGGGATTGAATGCAGGGTCTCCATGCATGATAGGCAAGCACTCTTATCACTGAGCTACATCCTCAGTCCTATTGATTGATTGATTGATTGATTGACATGAGGTCTCATTAAATAGCCCAATCTGTGCTTGAATTTGTGATTCTCCTAACTCAGTCTCCCAAGTAGCTAGGATTAGGGCCAGGGATGTAGTTCAGTGATGCCACACCTTCCTGGCAAGTGCAATGTCCTGAGTTCAATCCCTGGTACCAGGAAAAAAAAATGCCAAGTAGCTGGATTACAGACGTGCATTACCATGCCTGGCCAGACTGGGACCCCACCCACCACCACCAGGGATCAAACTCAGGACCTTATGCTTGCAAGGCAGGCGTGGTGCCACTGAACTAAATCCCCAGCCCTAGACTGGGATTTTTGAAAGAAAATTTGAGCAGGGAGGGGAAGAGGGGGGAAAAAAAACATTGGGAATGCAGGGTGGGAAAAACAGTATAGATTTTAAAATAAATAAATTCAACAATGTCCAGCCTTGGGTAGGTGTTTCAGGGCATGGGCTGTTGGAATGGTGGCCCTGTCACAGCTCTTCCAGAGGTGAGGCCTGTCCCCCACAGCTTGTTTTCTTTCCAGGTGGTAGCCAATGGAGCCATTCATGCCATCATACTGAAGTTCCTCCCACTGCCTATGGCTCAGCTCCTGAGCAGGTGTGGGTTTCTGACTCACTTCTCTCCGTTCCTTCGTGCATCCACGCAGAGTCTGGCTGAGGTCCTGCAGCAGCTTGGGGCCTCGGCTGAGCTCCAGGCTGTGCTCAGCTATATCTTCCCCACTTACGGTATGTACTGGCTGCAGGCTCTGGGTGCTTCCTGGAGGCAGAAGTACTGCCCTCCCTGCTCTGTGTTTCTTCCCTCATCTGCTTGGCTAAACTCAGAGCAGAATGGACCCCAGGCCCTCTGGAGCTTGCAGATGAGAAGTCTGTCCCCTGCTGGACTCCCTGGGAGAAATTCCTTCATCAGCTCCCTGAGTGATTTTCCTGTCACCCAACCTGTGCTCCCTGGTCTTGGCAGCACGGGAGGTTCAAAAGTATATTCCACCCACTCCAAGATCTGTAAGGTACCCCGTGTGGGATGGAGATGGTTCCTCTGTTGGCCCTGGATCCTGGGCAACATTTGGATCCTGGATTGGACCCCGACTGCCCCTGTTCCAAAGGTGCCCATGCCTGCTCCTGCCCCTCATTGCCCTTCTGTCCCTTCACAGGAGTGACCCCCAGCCACAGCACCTTTGCCATGCATGCCCTGCTGGTTGACCACTACATTCAAGGCGCCTTTTACCCCCGAGGGGGTTCCAGCGAGATCGCCTTCCACACCATCCCTATAATTGAGCGGGCCGGGGGTGCAGTCCTCACAAGGGCCACTGTGCAGAGTGTGCTGCTGGACTCAGCTGGCAGAGCCTGTGGTAAGAGCCTTGTCCTGGGCTTCAAGGTTCTTGCTGGGATGAAAGAGCTCTGGGGTCTTGTGGAGGACAGGAGCTATATCCGAACCACCCTCCTCATGCCAGGGAAAGGCCTGAATCGGCCACAGAATCGGCTGAGGAGTGGTGATTAGTCTGAAGGTAGAAAGGGAAGCAGAAAGGATAATGGTCTGCATAATCCCCGAGAACAGTATTTCATCACTATGCAGTACATCAAACTATGACTGCCTCCTTACGTGAGGGGCTGTGACCTCTTTTCCTCTCTGGGTCTTAACCCATCACCGAGGCCATGTCAGTGTTTGCTCAGTGACTGAAGGAATCGGGGTGGCAGCCAGAAGTGGGGCCTGTGCTCTCCGAAGCCTGGCTTGGGTGGGTGCTGTTTCCCACATGGTCTCAGGACCCTCCACAGATGACTCCCTGAAGAGTCCTTTAAACAGAACATACCAACCAACTGAAGGCTGAGGATTTCTTAACAAAGCCTCAGGCAAGGGGCCAAGAAGATACCCCAGGAGAACAGGGTTTCTATAAACAGGAATTTGCCAGAGGACTCATTGAGGAAGAAGAGGTGGTGATGAGAGGGAAAGGAAAAAGGAGGAAAAAGGACATCGGTGTCTTTAAAGATTCCATTCATAGAAGGGACTGAGAAGTTGTGGGTGGCTGTCAGTTTCGTGAGGTTTTCTCTGATGCCCATGAGCTGCTTCTGCTTCCCGCTGCAAGGGGTTCTTGAAATGAGGTGGATGTATTATCGGTTCAACTCCATTCGAAAGATAGCCATATGTTTTCCATATGTTAGATGATAAACAACAAGGATAAAAGACAAATAAGTCCAACCTCTGTCTCAACAAGTGTCCAGTCTCCCAGGGAATCTTACTGCAAAGTGGCTGAAGGGCCACATAGCAACATATTCAAAGGGTGGAGGCGACAGAGCCATGGGACAGGGACGCCCTCCCAGGGGCAGAGGGGTTCAAGCCAGGTTAGGGTGCAGAGAGCCTGCAAGGGGATGGGGTGGGAAGAAGTTGTTCCTGGATAGCAGAACTGCATGGCAGGGGCACCGGGGTATGAAAGAGCTGAGTATTTTCAAGCAGGTGAAAATGGGAGGTTGAACCACACAAAACTGCCATTTTATAGGTCAAAGAATATCACTTGTTTGATCTGGTTCTACTTATGGTTCAGTGCACTTGCAGAAGGGTGCTTGAGGGTACTTCTCCGAAACTGCATCATGCCCAGGGTCTGTCCTGCCTGGCCATTGGCAGGGTCTATACCCATTCTGAGAAAATGCAGCATAGGCCAGGAGAGATCTGAAGGGCACAGGGGCTCTTTTCTTCCTGCTGCTCATAGAACTCAGTCAAGTTCTTGTGCCTGTAGGTGTCAGCGTGAAGAAGGGACAAGAGCTGGTGAGCATCTACTGCCCTGTGGTGATCTCCAATGCAGGACTGTTCAACACCTATGAGCACTTGCTGCCAGAGAGTGCCCACTGCCTGCCAGGTAAAGACTGGTGTGTGCTGCTTTTCTTCCACCTACCCTGCTCAGTTGGGTGATGCTGCCTCTCTTCTAGGCCACCCCTGTCCTTAGCAGGAAGGTGAGAACTGTGGTCTTTCCCATCACCTCCCAGCATTTATGATTGGGGAAACATAGGTCCACACAGGCAAACTGACTTCCCATGGATGCCCAGCTGGAAGGCAGTGCTGTCAGAACCCTGGGCTTTCAAAATCCCAGCTCTTTACACTTCCTAGGTCCAGAGGTACAGGGCTTCCAGAAAAGGCCTTACTGTAGGAGCAGCAGGCAGGTCAACCCAGAAGAACGTTGCTGAGCCATTAGTCAGGAAGTTACTTCAGGATGTTCTGTGACTTGAAGCTGCTGGTGTGATCTGAAGAAAGGAGGTTCCCGGCCAGCCAGGAGGGGACCAGTGGACCTAGGACAGATGACAGAGGAGTCCTGCTAATGGCCTCTGGTTGCAGTGGAAGGTGGAAGGGACAGAGCAGCTCAGGATGGGCTGGGATGGGCTGGATCGGTGGATTCCAGGGAGCAAGGAGAAGGAGCTGCCCCCCCTCTGGGGTGAATCTGAGGAGCCAGGGAGGGTGAGGAGCAGCATGGCTGTGTGGGGAAGTGAGGTGCTGGGTTTCCTCATGGGGGAGCGGGGGCTGGCAACTCTAATTGTCTCTAAGATAGAGGACAGTGTGTTAGCTTCCTGTTACTGTGACAAAATCTCTTGAGACACCTTCGAAAGAGGAAAGGTTTACTTTAGCTCTGAGTTTTGGAGGCTGCAGTTCACGGTCACCCAGCCCTGTGCTTTGAGGTGGGTGTGACACAGTGTATCAAAGAGCACCCGGTGAAGGGGGCCTGGTCACCTCATGGAGGTGGGAGACAAAGAGAGACGGAGAAGGGGCCAGGGTACTAATGTCCCCTTCAAGGGTATGACAACGTGACCTAACTTCCTCCCATGAGGCCCCACTCTGTCAAGTTCCATCGCTTTCCAAAGGCCTTTAGTACACAGCCTGTGGGGGACACTTACCCAAACCTTAGCAGACAGTGCCACCAAACGCCACCCTTTGTTATTATCTTTTTTTTTTTTTTTGGTACCCAGGATCAAACTTGGGACCTTGCACTTGCGAGGCAAGCAGTAGAACCACTGAGATAAATCCCCGGCCCCAAAATCCTGTGCCTCATTCTGACACCAGTGAGGCGCTTCTTTCAGATGGGTAGCCCAGCAGGGTATGGTGGGCAGCACAGGCTGGTGTGCTGCCTTTGTCCTTCTACCCATCCCTTATGTAGTAATATTTACTTACTAGATGGCTTGTGTTAAAGTTAACACTGAGATAGGCCGGGATTTGGCTCAGCAACACAAAGCCTGCCTGGTAAGCATGCGGTCCTGAGTTTGATCCCCAGTACCAAAAAAAAAAAAAAAGTTAACACTGAGAACTGGCTCTGTGATATACACCTGTAATCCCAGCACTTGGGAGGCTGAGACAGGAAGATCAATGTGAATTTGAAACCAGCCTGGGCTATGTAGTGAGATCCTGTCTCAAAAACAAAAAAAGTTAAACCAGGTGTGGTGGTGCACACCTGTAATCCCAGCACTCGGGAGGCTGAGGCAGGAGGATCACTGTGAGTTCGAGACCAGCCTGAGCTACGCAGTGAGTTCCAGGTCAGTCTCAACTACATAGTGAGACCCTGTCTCAAAAAAACAAAAAAAACAAAAACAAAAACCCCAAAACCAAAAAAAGTTAGCACTGAAATCAAGGCTTGTAAGGAACCACTTTTGTGTGTGGCCTTTGTCAGTAGGAGGTGTTATCTGCTTTTTTTTTCCTTTGAGACAGGCTCTCACTATGTATGAACTGGCCTTGAATTCACTATATAGCCTACGCTGGTCTTGAACTCACAGCAGTCCTCCTGCCTCAGCCTCCCAATTGTTGGGATTATGGGCATGCACCACCACTCCTGGCTGCTTCTAACTCAGACTTCCATTGTTTATTTGTTTGGCAGCACCAGGGATTGAACTCAGGGCCTTTGCAGGCCCCACTTCCCTTTAAAGTATTTTGAGATGGTGTCCTGCTAAGTCTCTGAGTTACACAGACTGGGCTCAAACTTGGTATCCTCCTGCCTCAGCCTCCTAGAATGCTGGAACTACAAGCCTGCACCATTGGACCCAGCTGTGACTGAAAGACCTTATTTTTATTTTTTAAAGAGATTTTTTTTTTTAAGCAAAAACATATATTGGTAAATTTTAGATATACATAATGATAACACTCATCATAGGGAATTTGCATCTGTACATGATGTATACTGCCTCTTTTTTCATTCCTCCTTCCTATATGCAAAAGCTTTGTTTCCATTTCTTCCTTCTATTTTCACTTTTTTTCTTGTCCCTTCCTTCCTTTCCTCCTCCCCCATCCCTGTTCCCCTTCCCACTTGAACACTTTTTTCCCCCATTTCCCAGTATCTTTTAGTCCTTATTTCCACTTTTGGTTTCTCACACCGGAGAAACAATGTGTTTAAACACGTGTCCAATTTATTTAACTTAAGAGTATGGTCTTGGGGTCAGGGATTTAGCTAAGTGTTGCCAGTGCCTGCCACACAAGTGTAAGGTTTTTGTTCAATCCCCAGTACCAAAACAAAACAAAACAAAAAAGCCTGTATGTTCTCAAGGTGCATCCATTTATCTAGACATGTCTCAAGCTCATCCTTCTTTATGGCAGAGTAGCACTCCATTAAAAATCCACATCGGGCCAGGGATTTAGCTCAGTGGTGCCTTGCCTGCCTCACAAGTGCAAGGTCCTGAGTTCAATACCCAGTACTGGGGGGAAAAATGACAACAAAAAACATCTTTATCAGTTCATGTGACTGAAAGACTTTAAAGAGAGTACTGAGGCAGTTGGCCTGACTGTCCTGCAGGTATGTGAGCCAGCTGTGCTAGGAGCCAGTGGGGGGTCAGGGGCTGTGTGTCATCTGTGAATAGAAAAGCTCAGAATGGAGATAACGGAGTGAGGAGAGGCGTCTAAGCCTATGTCTGACAGGAGGAGGCAAAAAAGCGGGCCTCTGCCAAGCTCATAAAGAAATGACTGTAAAAATGGCTAGGAATAGTGATGCATGCTTGTATCCCAGCTACTCAGAAGGCTGAGGCAGGAAGATGGCAAGTTCAAGGCCTGTCTGGGCAACTTAGTGAGACCCTGTCCAAGATAGAAAGATCTAGAGGTGTTGAGGCTGGGGATTTAGCTCAGTGGCACCATGCCTGCCTCACAACGCAAGGTCCTGAGTTCACCCTTGGTACCAGGAAAAAAAAAAAGATCTAGAGGTGTAGCTCAGTGCTCCCTAGGTTTCAATTTCTAGTACTAAAGGAGTGGGGAAAGGCCTGGACTCTCTCTTAGCTGCAGCTGGAGAGCACATGTCTGCCTAGGCTGTCGACGCACTCATGGTCCCGACTGCTCCACTTTGCAGGGGTGAAGGAACAGCTGGGCATGGTGCGGCCCAGTCTGGGGATGCTCTCAGTTTTCATCTGTCTGCGTGGGACCAAGGAGGACTTGGGTTTGCGGTCCACCAACTACTATGTTTATTTTGACACAGACATGGACAAAGCGTAAGCTATGTGTGTGTGTGTGTGTGTGTGTGTGTGTGTGTGTGGTGTGTGTGTTTGTTGGGCAGGGTGGCACATGGTGTGGGAGGAAGTGAGCAGCTTCCAGTGTACTCCTGAAAGGGCTTTCACACCAAGGCTGAGCCTCCGCCTCATCCCTTTGCCGAGTCCCAGGGGATGGGCCTGTCCTTGGCATTGGTGCTGGTGGCCTTCAGAAAGGCCCGGGGATGAGTAGCTCACCTTTCATCTGCAGGATGGAGCGCTACACCTCCATGCCCAGGGAGAAGGCTGTGGGACACATCCCCCTTTTCTTCATTGCCTCCCCATCAGCCAAGGACCCGACTTGGGAGGAACGCTTCCCAGGTGGGCTCAAGGTCCAGTGGGGCTGAGAGGGCCAGGGCGAGGGTCAGGCAGCAGTAACCTGGCTCTCCATCCTTAGACCGGTCCACGATGATTGTGCTGTTGCCCGCCGCCTTTGAATGGTTTGAGGAGTGGCAGGAAGAGCCAAAGGGAAAGCGGGGCAATGATTACAAGACACTCAAAGATTCTTTTGTTGAAGCTTGCATGTTGGTGGTCATGAGACTGTTCCCACAGCTAGAGGGGAAGGTACGGGTTAGAGTGTGTGGTGGGGGTGCTGACAGGCCCTTTCCTGGGGATGGGAACCAAGCCCAAGGTAACTGAATCCCAGGAAGGATGGAGCGCATCCAGGCAGAAGAGATGAGGGTCTCACCAGTCCCAACTCCTGTCCCTTTGCCTCCTCAGGTGGAGAGTGTGACCGGAGGGTCCCCACTGACCAGCCAGTTCTATCTGGCTGCTCCCCGAGGTGCCACCTATGGGGCCGACCATGACCTGGGCCGTCTGCATCCTCTTGCGATGGCCTCAATAAGGGCCCAGAGCCCCATCCCCAACCTCTACCTAACAGGTATAAGGCCCAAGGGGCCAGGATCTGAGACCGTGGGCCTCTCCAGCCCCAAGTCCTTTGTTCTCAGCCTCAGGCCCTGAGGTCTCCTGCAGCTCCATACCCCTGGTCCTCATCTGAGGCTCTCTCTGGGTGGCCCTGCCTCCCTCTCTCCATGGGGGTGACACTCATGGTCTCTGCTCTTGTCTCCTAGGCCAGGATATCTTCACCTGTGGGCTGTTAGGGGCCCTGCAAGGAGCCCTGCTGTGCAGCAGTGCCATCTTGAAGCGGAACTTATACTCAGACCTCAAGGATCTTGGCTCTAGGGTCCAGGCACAGAAGAAGCAGCAGTAGTTTGGCTAGGGATAAATCAGAGGAATTTGCACCTCTCCTAACTTAGCCATATCACTCTTCTCCATTAGATCTGTACACACAAAACACTCTGATTTGTTTCTGATTTAGGCCTAATATAAATTAGTGTTCAGCTGCAGTTTTTGCAGCTGGGACAGGTGATGATCTTTATACCTTTTACAACATGCTGTTCTGGGCTGCTGCTGTGCACACCCATGATGGCTTGTGATAAGCACACTCTGGACCCTTCCCTGTACCTCCCAGCTCTGGACAATCAAAGTGAAGCTTCCAGGGGTGTGTACAGAACCTCTGAAAGTGCTGCTCAGTGGAAGCAGGTCGGTCCAGTCCTGCCGTGAGGTTTTCTCCTCCTGTTCACCCTGAGTGCTGTATTGGATTCTAGGTTGTCACGTGAGTGGGGTGGCACCTGGCTCTTGATGTGCTGATGCCAAGACATCCTTAGCCCTGTCCTCTGGGTTATACAGGGAAGGTGATGATAGTGGCCAGGACAGACTGGCACGACTTGGCTGGGACTGATGCAGGCTGAAGGAGTGTTCCAGATCAAGGCCACAGCTTGACATCACTGAGGCGATAGTGTGCCAGACACCGGCCTGTGTCCCCTGCCTGGCCGGGAAGAGGATGGGTGAGGAGTCAGAGCCAGAACATGGAAAACCACCCATGGGTGGCATCTGCAGTTTGCTGGTACATAAGCAATCTTGAGCATCTCTTTTCCAAAATGCTTGGTATTGAAATTTGACTATTTTCAAGTCTTGAAATATTTGCCTACACATAATAAATGAGATAACTTGGGGACAGGACCCAGGTCCAAACAGAATTCATCTGTTTCATATAAACATTACTGAGAGTAATTTTAAACAATATTTAAATTATTTTGTGCATTTTGGCTGTGACCTATCAGATAAGATCATGTTGGCACTCAAAAAGCTTTGAATTTTAGAGCATTTTGACTTTTAGAGTAGGGATGTTCAAACTGGAAGATGGATGGGAAGGTGAAATAAAGGCTAAAGGTTAAGAAAATAACAACCTTATGTTGGCCTTATTTTGTATAGCACTAATAAATTAATCAATTTCATTGCTTTGATATCTGAAATTTATTTTGGTTTCTGTTCAATAACACAAAACTACAGTGACAAGGCATTTATAGAAGCTCAGTAAAACATCACATACTGAAAAATACTTATCATTAGACCACAATGCGCTTTAAAAAAATATAAAGTTAATTACGTTACAAAAAGTTGAAAATATAAAACATTGCTAAACAGTGACAATCTACTAATCAGGCAAACAAAAGAGAAGGGAAACAATTTCAACAATCAAATGTTCATTTAACATGGTCTCTCATGAGTTAAAAGAAAATCTATCAAAGAGTGTAAGGAGGCTGGCTTTGTTGGCAGTTTCCATACTATACAGCTCAGACACAAACCCTTACAGACAAGTTTCTAAATATTTAGGAAATTCACATCTAACTTGTGGATCTAGCTCAGTTGAAAGTCACTCCTGGCTTGCGACGTACAGTTAATCATTAAACCTCAAAAAATTTCTTTCCAGTATCCTTAAGCAAGCAATGCCAAACTCGACCTTCCTAGCAAGGGTTTTCAGGAAACAGCCTGATGGAGCCACAGGTTTGGTGTACAGCATACCTTCATGTTCAAACAGTTCAGAACATGTGTAAAGTGCTCTAGCTTTCATCACATCCAGAATTATGTACCAAGTTACCCTGCAAAGCAAGGACTGGAGAAGGAAATGAATATAACCATCCAGAATCTTGGAGGTACCGAGTTCTACCACTGAAGGGTTCATTAAAAACCATCATGGGGTAAAAGAATGTCAGTATATATAGTTAGTTGTTAGGTCTTTTCTGAATGGTCTTAGCCTTTCTAGATGCACTGGCCTTCAACCCCTCAGCATCCAGACGTGAACTCAAATCTACTCAGTAATCTGCAGCAAGAAAACAAAGGTCCTCTATTAACATCCATGACTTGGACAGATTCCCCTAACAAAAATTACCATTCAACCCAAGGTGGGGCAGGAGAGGCCCAGTCTTTGCAGGGAGCCTCTGTGGTTCTGAGGGCTTCCTATACACAGCTGCCCAGCCAGCCCGCCCTCATCCACACCACAGGTCTCCTTTGGTGTGAGAGTTCCTCCAGTGCACTCTCAGCACAAGCAGTGATACTTCTCAGAGGCTCAAAGGGTTGAGCCAAGTGGACTCCGTGACAGTCATGTGTCCACTTGTGGCCAACCTTTTTGGTTTTTGAAACCAATTTATCTTCCTGTTCTCCTTAAGAGCAAAAGACAACATGTATAAGGTCACACCATTGAGGTTGCCAGAAAGCTGTTTGCCCTCGTTGAAGTCCCACGAGGGCAGAAAACTCCCAACAAGCCTAAGGAATTGTCACTATGTTAGGCAGCTGTAATGGTGCTAAGGGTTGTCTCTGAAGAGCTTAGGTTTCTTGGGAAGAACAGCAGGACATCAGATACTGACTGCCCTGTTCTACTGAAGTTCCAACATGAGAGAGTGGTATCAAGAGCTATCGGAATACAACAAAATCAGCCAATCTAAAAGAAAAATATGTGAGAAAACGAAAAAATGGAAATAAAGTGTTTGTAAATGGGGAGGAGGAGGGGGTATACAACAAAATGAGCCAATCTAAAAGAAAAATATGTGAGAAAACGAAAAAATGGAAATAAAGTGTTTGTAAATGGGGAGGGGAGGAGGGGGTGAAGGGAGGGCAGGGACAAGGGGAAAAAATGAGAACCAAGACCTGTCATATAAAGGTACAAGATCCCAATAATGAATGTAACTGTACTATATACCTAAAATGTACCAATAAACTCAATGAAAAAAAGATTGAGCCAATCTTGAGGTGTGGGCAGTGAGGAAAGAATAGAAAACTTGGGATGAGTCCTAAAGAAATGGGGACTTGGGGACAACAAAAGATGAGAAAACCTAAACCACCATAGGAAGCTGGGAAATAAAGGACAGAGTCAAAGATAGACACCCAACATGAGGGACCTTTGGCTTTGTCAAAAAAAGGAAGATGTCGCTCTGCAGAGTCCTGAATACTACAGTTTGTAACTTGACTCTCTTAAGCCATGAAAGGTCCAGACAAAGGCTTCTGTCATCAGTGTTTCCAAGATTATCTTTCTCAGATGGGGGACAGGAGAACCAATTAAAGTGATTCCTGAAAAAACTATTCAGCAGAAAAGTGAAATGGCTGGAGGTGTGGGACAGGAGAAGCAAGGAAAATGGAAAGACAGATTGTAGTTGAAAATATTGGGCAGTTGAGAGGACAACAGATAAGAGTGAAATTCAATTTGTAGAGATAATAGCAGAACTATTTAGCATATCATAGGCCTGGGTTCTTTGGGAAGTAGGCCAAGGATAAAAATAGGAGTCACTTAAGAGAATGAAGAATGGATGCATTTTTTAAGAGTGAAAGGACTGGAGGCCAGGTTCTGAGAACTTCCCCTCCAGCACAGGAAAAGGCACCAGACAGTGTCAAAGACACCAAGAAAGGGAGTATCCATATGTATGGTCAGCACTGTCCAATTCTACGAAGTACAAGACCACATACTGAGAACAAGCCATGGGATCCGGTGATCTGACAAGTGCCTAACCCTTGGAAACAGAAGAAAGACAAGGACCACAGTGAAAATGTAGGAAAAGCCACAGAGAGAACTAATGGCAAAACAACACCTCTGGAGCAGGAGAATAGCGGAATGACAAAAATAGCACGGGTGGGAGCGGGGGAAATTTGGGCATGCATGAGGTCGGAGGGAAGGTGCCAGTGTAGATGGGCACACACAGAAAACACTAGAGCAGAGAAGACAGTTTGAAAAGGCAGAGAGGGGAATAAAATAATGTCCAAGGGAATGCTGGAGGAGCCTGACAGAATTCCTCTGGTTGGAAGAAAATAAAGTTAAGACTGCACAAGCAGAGGGAATGATGCCAAGGAGACTATGTACCCATTCCTCAGCTCCATCCCATGCTACTGGCCAAGAATGAAAACTTCAATTTCACACCATGGCCTGCTATCAGCCAGGTGGAAACTGAAGCAATCAGGGTGGTCTCTTCTTCAGACTGGCTTCTTCCACAGCACCATTTCCTCCCCTCCCACACTCCTGGCACATCCCTGAGATTAGCTACCGCCCTCCCTCTCCAGCCTCTCAATCCTAGGGCAGCATGACTAGAACAAACTGAAATAAAATTTCAAACCAACGTGTGACCCGAGACACTACTATACACTGGATTTTTAAAAAATTCAATGACCCTTGACATGGGATGGCACAATTTTTACTAATTACCCTTGGCATCTTAGGAGAAAGGACCATTAAGGAGATTAAGGTAAAACAGACAAAGAGTGCAGTTAGTTTCTATATATAAATCTGTTTTGTCTATTTTAGGCAATAAAGGCAAAATAGAGTTTCTGGGTAGTTGTTTCAAGAGGCCCTTGAAAGAAAAACCCAGAATGAAACCCTCTTACATGTTTTCTTTCACAGAGCATGAACTTGCTCTTTTTAAAGTTCCTATTTCAACAAGTGCAACCACATTTGTAAAAATTCTGATGGGAACAGTGGCTTCGCTTACAGAAACCTCAGGCTCAGTTTTGTGTTCAGTACTATCAAACAGAAGGGGATTCTCTTTGTCCCAAGTGATATAAAATACACTATCAGAAAAACATGGAGAACTTAGGCTAAGTGGGTTAGAGTTGCAGGCAATAAAGCACCTTTTAATCTGTTTTGGGTTGCCTCTGAAAAGTTATGTGCTCTAAGTACACCTCTGCCTTCTAGTTAGTACCTCACCGTCTACACCTTAAGAGACCTTAGGCACCTCTACTTGCAGTTTCCTCCTACATCTGCAAAGATATATAGCAAAGGGCAATGCCGTGGTCAAAGGCTAACTTACTGCCCAGCCGCAGAGCCACGCAGCCAGCACAAGGGAGGGTGAACAGCAGTGTAGCCTGCCCAGGCCTGGGGTTTCCCTTTGGTCATAGTCATGTCTCCACACGCTCCCTCAGCTCACACTTGGAGGAGGAAAGGATGGATGGAACACACCAGCATAAACACAGGGAACACAGAAGTACAATGCCACCAAAGTGCAGGTGCAAACCCAAAGCAATGGCCCCCACCTCTGCGAGACTTGCCATCAAACCCCACCAGAAGTCACATTACTTTTTTTCTTCATTTTTCTTGATTCAGAAACAAATCAGCAGGGAGGACAAAATTCTTGCAGTTACAAATCAAAGCTGAAATGAGAGCAACACAGTACATTAGTTACACTTGCCTTTTCTAGTGGAATATACCACCCTACTGCTGATCTTAGAGCAACTGCAGTTGAAGGAAAAGATTCAGAATTAAGATAATCTTCAGCAGCGCAGCACCTGCCTGGCAAGCATGAGGCCCTGAGTTTGATTTCTAGTACCAAAAACAAAACAGACAGAATTAAGGCAATTACAGTAAGACAGTAATTCATAGAAGTAAGGGCTGGGAATGCAGCTCAGTGGTAAAGAGCTTGCCTAGTATGTGTGGGGCCTTACCAAAAAGAAAAAAAAAAAACAAAAACGACTTGTTTTATCTTTATTTTTTTGGTGTTATCAGGGATTGTACCCAGGGTCTCACATATGCCAGGCGAGTATTGAGCTACATCCCCAGTCCTTTTCTTAAAATTTTTTGAGGGCCAGGGATTTAGCTCAGTGGTGCTGTCACCTGCTTTGCAAGCACAAGGACCAGAGTTCGATCCCAGTACAAAAAAAAAAATTTTTATTTTGAGACAAAGTCTCATTAAGTTGCCCAAAATGGACTCAAACATGTGATCTCCCTACTTCAGCCTCTGGAGTAGCTGAGCTTACAGGTATGCATAGTGCCAGACAATTAATGAATCTTGCAGAATGTGGTGGCAGATGCCTGTCATCCCAGAACTCAGGAGACTGAGGCAGAAAGATTACCATGAGTTTGAGACCAGCCTGGGCTACAGAGTGAAACCTGTCTTAAAAATAGAAAAAGTGCCACTGCATGCCTCACAAGCACAAGGACTCAAAGGACCCAAGTTTGAATCCCGGTACCCCCCCCACACAAAAAAGAAAAAAACATGTTAATGAGTCTTAAAAGTCAGTATGAAACAAAACATACACTTGACAGAGGAAATATAGGAATACTGGTTTCTGCTTTATACGCCCATGTAAAATTTTAAAAATATTTAAATATTTTGTTTACAATGGGGGTGGTGAATCATTATGAGGAATGAAAAAAATCCCTAATGTCAATTATCAGGGATAGTAGTGGGCTAATTATGAACTAAGTGAAGTGGCCTATTCTGTAGTTGGTATGAGTTGTACAAATGAGCTGTGTTCCCTGCAGGAAGTGTGGAACAAATCACAGCTGGCCACTGACTGTTCTTTACCAATGCCCTCTCTGCTGCTAAACAGAACTGTAGCAAGAAAGGTTCCTGCTGTCAGTAGCCCCCTGGGTGTGCAGACTTCTTCGTGAGACAGGTCCCCCATCTACCCTCTGCCCCTAGAACTCTGCTCAGCTCCTGGGGCTGTGGGGCAGAGGGCTTTTCTCCCTGACAGAGGCAGACTGGTCGCAATCAGAAAGTGCAGCTCACAGAGCCAGAGGCAGGGCCTGATCCAGGCAACAGGAGGCTTGTGTGTTTTTGGACTCACTTGGGGAGTGCAGTCTAGTACTTTGCCACCTGAAGTGTGTTTCCAGCAGTGTTTGATCTTCTGGGAGCTTCCTCAAAATGTAGATACACTGGCTCCACCCCACAGGCAGTAAATCAGATTTTACCTTTTATCCCATTTCCCAAGGTGACTCATATGCCTATTAAAAGTTTGTGACCAGCTGGTGTACAGTGAAAAGCCTAGGCCTGGGAGTCTAGGGAGTTGCTATTAAGTCCTAATTTTGAATGGAAATTCAAAAAATTAGGAAGAAAATGACAGCATTGTGGGGGACAGGCTTGTCCCTTTATCTGTAGTAAATAAAGGTCACCTCAAGTTCTAACCCTGAGGACACACATACAGTATCCTCAGTGGATGGTTCTAGTCTGCCATATGAAAAGGGTCAGGGGAACGACAGCAGCACCGTCAGCACTAGCTGCTGCCACCATGCCAAATGCCAGCCCACTGCTGTGCCTGTCTGTTGTACATCCTCCTGGGAACATGGCTCCTTCCTTACCTTTAGGTTCAAACGCTGGTAGTCACTGGCTTTTGGTCGTCGAGTGACTTTGGATCTTTTTCCTTCCAGGGCAAAAGCAATTATCTGGAAAAAGCAAAAAAGAAAGGATTGAATGATGGCTCCATAATGATACTATTTCAGTCTCTGAAATCAAAAGCAGTCATTTGGAAGTATATTTGTTAATGACCCTGGTTAACGAAAGTAGAAGACATCCAGAGAAAGGCCTAAACCTTGTATGTGTGGTGCTGGGGATCAAACTCAGGGCTGTGCACATGCTAGGCAAGTGCCCTACCAAGCAAAGGTGTAGCTCAGTGGTACAGCACTTGCCTAAAATGCTAGAGGCTTTGGGTTTAATCCTCAGCACCACACACACATAAAACTGTAATGATTTTAGGAATGAGGCCTAATCACATCAGAATGCTGCTTAGTAAGAACTGACAGATGGAGGAAAGCTGTTCTGGGCTATAGCTTGTAGAAATCTGTATGCTCTGATCCAGGATACTCAGTCAGAGATCTGCCAAGCACTCCCCAGAGAGCTTTAGCATAAGTTATTCCTTTTTTTTTTTTCAACCATCCATTAGTAATTGTTTCCTATCTAGGAATGTACTCCTTACCCCCACACTGTGCTTTTTGGTACTGGGAATCGAACTCAGGGCCTTGCACTTGCCAGGCAGGTGCTTGCTGCTGAGCAACATTCCCAGGCTGCCCCACAATGTGCTTTATCAAGTGCTTTTTTTTTTTGGTGCTGGGATTGAACCCAGGGCATTGCACCTTCTAGGCAAGTGCTCTCTACTACTGAGTTGTATCACCAGCCTATGGCTGGTTGGTTGTTTTTTTAATTTTGAGACAAGAGTCTCAAAGCTGGCCTGGGAACTTACATCTTCTTGTCTCAGCCTCCTAAATAGCTAGGACTGCAGGTGTGCCCCGCCACACCTGGCCATCAACCACACTCTTAACTTTACTACTCTCATTATAAACACTTGGACAATAAGAAAGGTACATTTTTACTACTGGTCTGCCCTCATGCTTCATAGCCACAGGTGACAGCCACCATGAACTGAATCCTCCAGCTTTAACCAAACTACTGAAACAATCTTCTAAAGTCTCAGGGCTCACAAAGAAAATGCAATCATTTAGACTGGTTGCTAAGGGACAGAATATCACTTCATACCCATGCTGCTAAAGAAATAAAAGATGCGTGAGCTACATGTGGTGGTACATGCCTGTAATCCCAGCACTCTGGGAGACTGAGGCAAGAGAAGTGCAGGTTCAAGCCCAGCCTAGGCAACCAAGCAATGTAGCAAGCCCGTCTCAAAATAAAAAATAAAAAGGGTTAAGAATGTAGCTCAGTGTGAAAGCCTGCATTCAATTCCTAGTAAGGCAAAAAAAAAAAAAAAAAATTAAAAAAAGTGGCTCTCTGGCTGGGGATATAGCTTAGTGCCACCGCACCTGCCTGGCAAGTACAAGGTCCTGAGTTCAATTTCCAGCACCAAAAAAGAAAAGAAAAGAAAAGGTTATCTATAATATCTGGGCTTTCTTCTAATTCTCACTGATTGCAGAAGAGAGACCCTGGGCTCTTTGCTGTGATACCTAACTGAAACTGATCTTTCTGCCAATACAGGTGGAAAATAGATTGGGAAAGGAAGCTAGAAATGATATGAAATGTCAGGCATGGAAAAGGGACAGTAAGACCTCCATGTATCAAGTACTCAGGTCCAATGAGGCTGTGAAGGTCCTAAATTCAAGGATTGGGGAGGAAATGCCATTTTAGGTCAGGTCATAACGATGTCCTAACTTAGCACCTAATGCAGCAACAGGTTACACGATGAAAACATGTGATTTACAAGAGTAAAGGGTCCTAGCAGGGTTTGAGGAAAAACTAGTTTGTCTTAAAATTCCCAGTGCTCACAGACAGCTGAGTGATAGACACCTGCCCGTGCCACATATTCAGGGTGGAGGAAATTCCATTCCTTTCTTTAAAGCTATGCTTGACTTACCTTCCGCTTATTGTGATAGGCAATATACAGGACAGCAATAAGAATGGCTGCAGTCACCAGATATGCAAAGAAGTGACTGCTCTCTGCATTGGTACTTCCAGGAATCTTATACAGGTCGTCCTTCTCACTATTCATGGAATCCAAAAGCGTCCCTTCCCGGTTCTCACTGGAGGAAGCCCCTGACATCTTTTCTTTCTCTTCTTCAGAGGGTGGTCCCTCTTCCGGCCCTGTATCACCTTCGTTGGCCTCCTTGGCCCCCACATCCTGAGTAGTCTCTGAAGACTTATCTCCTCCCTCCTGCCTAGGTGCAGAGAGGTCAGAGTCGACTGTCAGTTCAGTCTTCGAAGCCTGAGGTGAGGACTCTCCCTTTTCAGGTAGTTGGGTTTTGTCAATCTCGGGGGTCCCCTTAATACCAGAGGGGTTGGATATGGGCTTGGAGCCTTCTTGTGTGGACTGCTGCGCTGAGCTCAACTTGCCAGGATCTTGTTTTGTGGTCGGTGGCTGCACTTCTAACTTACTGGGGTCTTGTCCCGGGGGCTGCTGTTGCACCTCCGACCTGCCAGGATCTGGTTTCTTTGGGGCCTGCTGTTGAGCTTCCGACTTGTCAGGGTCTGGAGTCCGGGAATGCTGTCCCTCGGATTTGTCAGGGTCCGTATTCAGTGGCAGCTGCATCTTGGACCTGTCGGGGTCCGGTTTCTTAGGGGTCTGCAGTTGAGCTTCCGACTTGCTGGGGTGTGGTTTTGGGGACTGTTGGGTTTCCGACTTTTCGGGGTCTGGTTTTGGGGGCTGCTGGATTTCCGACTTGTCAGGGTCTCGTCTGGGGGACTGCGGCTGCGTCTCCGACCTGCCAGGGTCTTTCTCGGAGGGATGGCTGGACTCCGACAGAGGTCGTGGATCTTCCTCATTAGACAGCTGGATGCCGGGGGAAGGGCTGCGGTCGCCGCTGTCCGCATTAGCCTGATTTGCAGCCGCGTTCTGATTTTGGTTTGGCTGCGGTGGGGGCGACGGGGCTACGGAAATAGAAAAACTAGTAAGGCCGGGTGAGGGGCAGGCCGGGATATGAGCAGAGGACTCCTTAGAGTTGAAGAGACCGAGGGCGGGGGGCGAACTTGGGGAAGGGGAGTGGGAGCGATAGCACACGGAAGGGTGCGCACGGCAAGGAAAACGCGAGGACAGCTGGTGACTGGAAAGGTGAATGAAGGTGGTGGGCCCGGGGCCAAGAGTAGGATGGGCAGGGGGTCTTACCCGCCCCTGCGACACTCAGAAGGAGCAACGCAACCAGGAACCGCATCCTGTACAGACTGCGTTTCCTCTCTCCACTGTTTTCTCGAGAGCCGCGCGAAGGTTCTCCCCGAAGCACCGCCCCTTCCGGTGCGCGCCGCCCCGCCTCCCGCGGCGCCTGTGGGCGGGGAGTGACGCGGTGCGGGGGTCGTGGGCCCCTGTCGTATTCTTGGCAGTGCAGCTCCAATGGGCCAGCGGTCCTGGTTGTCTTCTTTCCTCGCACTTCCGGGCGGCCCACGGAGTGCGGGCCTAGCACTCGTTCCGTGTCCTCCGCCGGAAACTCGGACCTCCCTTTCCTGTGCCTTTCGCCCAGCGCTCCAAAACCCTCTGTGTTCAGGTCTTTCCCATCTAGAAACAGACCCATTGTCACTTTGCTAGCGGTAGTCTGCGTCCTGACTCTCCTCCCTCCCGACCTGACGGAAATATGTCGCCAAAGATCATTTCTAAAAAGTGCAACCTTTTTCTAATCATAAAAATCTAAGAAGACAAAGCCTTAGCCGCGACCTTCATAGTGTATTTTCTGCCTTGCAATCTTAATGGTTAAAAAATGAAAATGGAGCCCCTGGCCTCTTGCACGCTAACCACTATCTCTACCACTGAGCTACACTCATAGCCCCTCATATAGGTTTTATTTTATTTTATTTTTTTAATGTTTGTTTTCTGTTTTTTTGAGACAAAGTAATGCTCTGTAATTCAGGCTGGTCTTGAAGTCACTATGTATCCCTGTGGTCTTGAGTCCTCCTGCCTCAGCCTTCTAAGTGCTAGGCTTACAGGCATGCGTCACCACACCAAGCTCACATACAGTTTTTAAAGACATGCAATGTACTCATTTTCTCTTCCTTCTTATTTGATGTTTCTTTTTTTCTGCACATGTTCGTTTTCTCCCCAGATCGGGCACACTGAGTAGTTTTGTATCCCATCCCATTGTTTACTCCCTGGTGTGTTTAAACACTGTGTTGCTTGAAATCATTTTGGTTTTTGTTTTTTGGGTTTTGTTTTGTTTTGTGTAGACAGGATCTCACCATATAGTTGTTTGGCTCTGAACTCACTGTGTAGCCCAGGCTGACCTTGAATTCAAGGCAATCAATCCTCCTGCCTCAGCCCTCCCAAGTGCTGGATGACAGACGTGCGCCACCAAGCCCGGCTTGAAATCATTTCGTGAACATTTTGCCAGGCTGGATGTTTTGTAGACAGGGATTTTTTTAATGATAGATTTTAGCTGGGCTCAGTAGCAAAAAAAAGAAGAAGTCCCAGATATTGGGGAGATTGAAGCAGGAAGTTGGCTTGAGCCGGGAAGTTTAGGGCCAACTTGAGCAACACAGTAAGACACTGTCTCAAGGGGGGAAAGTGATAGGCTTTAACCTGACCTCATGGAGCACATAATCTAGTGAGACACACACGTATTAAAGTGTGTGTGCATGCATGCATTTCAAGAATGGAAAGTAGGACTCAGTTGAGGAGGGGATCTCTGTAGCTGCGGGCTATAGGCTGTGGGTGTCTGAGGTGAGGCTGAAGGAAAGAAGAGGATGAGCTTCCTTGGTTGAGACTTCAGCATGTGTAGTGGGCTGTAGACAGCTGGGAACCTAGTGTCTGTGTAAACCTGATGACAAGGCTTGTAGAATAACAGCAAGGAGAAGGGCAAGGGATAAGGCAAAGCCCGATTAAGGAACAAAGGACCTGGGAGTTATCAGAAACTAAATTTCTTTTATTGTTATTTTTATGAGTACATGTTTGCAGTACGTAAGGATTGCTTACATTCATCATGGGGAATTGGTACGTGTACATCTTTTTCCATTCCTCCCACATTAATGTCTATGAGATATAAAAGTACAATAGAAAATGTCAGTTAACTCTGAACTGTAAACGGATGCCACTCCTGCCTGGAAGGATGACAGCCATCCGGGGAAACACCACCGCTCTGAGGTCTCCGAGTACAGTATGTGTTACGTGAGATCCAGTTTTAGTTGGTTGGAATTTTTCCGAATTTCAAAGAAGAGTACATGTACAGATATAGTTTTCAGGAACAAGTACCTTTAGTTCTTGAAATTAGAAACCCTTTAATATGCTCTATGTTTTTCAGATCATTTTCTTTATTAGTGCATGATTGTGATACATCATAATGTTCACATTCCTTGGTAGAGTTAGTACATGTGCATAACACATCCAGTTCCTTTTTTCAGCACCTTTCCCTGACCTCCTGTTCCATCTCTTGATCACACACACACACACACACACACACACACACACGCACACACACAGACACACACATTACTAACCATTACTAAAGAGAATGAGATTTCTCACAGAGAAATTTTTTACCACCACATTATTTCAGGCCTGGGGTTGTAGCTCTGTGATAGGGTGCTTCTCTCTTCACCACTGCAAAAAACATTTTTCCCTCCCAAATATTTCACAATGTTGATTCTGCTTTGGCTAAAAGGAGGTGGATCAACACACAAATCTGTTTCTAAAAGAAAATTTTCTCTACCTGCCTTCAGTAAATGTTTGACTAGTCTTTAGGACGTTGGCTTAATGAGGGTGTGTGTGTGGCAGGGTAGGACAATGGCAAATTATCCAAGGCTGACCTGGATTCTGAGTTACTAGGCAGGGGAGGGAAGGAGTTCAGATTGTGCGAGCTCGCACACCCTGCCCAGGGCTCCCATTTTAGCTGAACAGTAAGGTCAAGCCATTGAAGAGGTTTAAGTAGGGGCAAGATAGAGACAGAGTAGGGAATGTTTGCATATTACACTGGTTGTGTCACGTGTCCCCTTGGGTGGGGCGGGAGAAGTGGATTTAGGAGTTAATCATTGAGGAGAGTGTTGCAGTAGTCCTCACTGGACTGGCACAGGGACAGGAAAGTGGAGAGCGGTGGCCAGGCCGGAGATGAACGTAGGAAGGGGATGATTAGTCCAAGGCCAGGGCGGATGGTGAGGGCTGGGAGGGGCTTTTTCCCCAGGTAGGGAAGGCAGGGGAGCCGAGGATGAAGGAGCTGGGGAGGAAATGGGTTGTCTTCAGGCCGTCTCCTTTTAGGATGAGTACAGGCAGCCGGTGGAGATATCAGGGGAGTAGTTGGAAACGCAAGCATAGAGCTCAAAGGCAGATGTGGGAACCACTTTCTCAACAAACCGAGGTTTAAAACATAGTAGTTAATGGTTTCATAAACAGTAATTTATGATTTTGTCATAACTGTGACAGTTTTCTTACTACTGGATGCCTGGATTTCAGTTTTCTGATGGTAACTATTATCAGGTACTAGTGAGGTGTCTTCTAAGATGTGCAAATGCTCAAAAGATTGACCAATCTGCTTCAGGTCAAGTTATTTTGTTATCAAGTCTTTGAAAGCAGTGACTATTTTTTTTTTTTTTTTTTGAGACAGGGTCACACTATATTGCATGGACTAGATGGTCTTGAGCTCTTGGGCTCGAGTGCCTCCTGCCAGTCAGGTGTGGTGGCGCACACCTGTAATCTCAGCACTTGGGAGGCTGAGGAAGGATTCCCATGAGTTTTGAGGCCAGCCTGGAGTACATAGTGAAACTATATCAAAAAAGCCAAACAACAACAACAACAACAACAACAACAGCCAAAGCCAGGCATGGTGGCACACACCTGTAATCCCAGCACTCAGGAGGTTGAGGCAGGAGGATTGCTGTGAGTTTGAGGCCAGCCTAGGCTACACAATGAACTCAAGGAGAGCCTGAACTACAGAGCAATCTGCAGTTCATAACAAAGAAAAAGACCCTCCTGCCTCTGCTTCCTGAAACACAGACAAGCAACACAGCATACACTTAGCAATGAGTATTTTTAATCCACCAAAGTAATAGAAAAATTGTCCCTGACTGTGACTTTTTTGTGTGTGTGTGTTTTGTGGGGTTTTTTGTGTATGATTCTTTAATATGTACTGCAAAAATAATTCATATGACCATAGACAATTTACTTAATTGCTTTAACTACTAGTTTCATTATGAAATAGGAATAAAAATGTTGAGAATTAGATAATTCATGTGAAGTACAGTGTTCAACATGGTATGTAGCATATAATTAAGGATATAAAATTTATTATTACAGGGCCAGGGATTTAGCTCAGTGATTCCACCACCTGCCTTGCAAGCACAAGGTCCTGAGTGCAATCCCCGGTCAATATATAT